CAGTCAACCGATTGCCGCTTAAGTTGATTGTGGCCAATGAGGTCGAGTTGAATTGGGATACATTGGCGCCCAATGAGCTCGAGTCCAGATTCAGGTAAGACAGGTCCAGACTCGACGAGTCCGAGTCGCACGACACCTGTCGGGCCGTGAATATCATGGACTGGTGGACAGAGTCGGCACTTGAGGACCGGGACCGGTAGTCCCAGTCGTCCGATGATAGGTCACTGTCCGGTACTTCTGGTGCCTCAGCCATTGACAGAAAATTCTTTGGATTATAAAAATATAAACTTTTTTAAACACAAAACTTTGAATAACTGTTTAAATTTCGAGAATAGAAGTCAAACAAAAATATAAATCAAATTAAATGTTATATAAATATTTATTCTGCATTTAATAAACTCTATAAATTGTTTATTAATTTAATTAGAAAGTATACAAAAGTCTATATTATTAACTAACATATCACTTGTGAGTTTGAAAATAGTTTCACACTTTTCTCATGACATAACATATGAGAAACACAGAATTTAAATGAAATAAAAATTATTACTCCACTTATTAGCAGTTACTAATACACACAAACACATGTAGTAAATATCCTTGGAGTGAAATTAAATTCATCATAGCACTTATTAACTATTTATTCAGTAAACACTCGTTAGGTGTAGTTTTAACGAAATACACACTTTTATTATTGATTTCAAAAAACTTAATCTTGAAATGAGGCAAAAATCTGAAGTCAAATAAAATCCAGTTCCTCATCACTGAGTCGACACCAAAAAAATACAGTTATCACCAAATTATACGATCTATGGATACATCTCTCATAGAAACAACTTTTAAAACCCAAAATATTATGAAATGCGTCAAAATGTATACATGAATTGCATAATTAAAAACACTATTTAAACAGTTGTCTCATTGATGTCTAAATCGGACCAATACATAGCAATTTTAATAGTGATTTAATAATATCTGTGCAAATAATTAACTTATATTATGAATATTATACTATAAACACAAACATCATGTGTTTTCTCTCTGATTGTTTGTTAGGAAATAACAATCAATTAAATGTTTTGTAGGAATAAAGTATTAGATAGCCTTGAAGTCTAGTGAATATTTCAATGAAAAAATGATTTTTTATATACACTTGAAATGAATTTAGTAATAATTTTTCTAAATTTGCAACATTTAAACATTTACTCGACTCATGGAAATGAATACTTATAATTTTTTATATTACTTAATTATAAAATAATACATTTAAATATAGCGACCATCAGGGTATTAATCACAATAAATGCATAATAAATTAATTGCATTAATTTTCACACCAGTTTTAACTGAAATATTTTTACTGAATTATCCTGAGTAATTTGTAATTTATTATAGAAGTGCATTATTTATAAGAAAATTTAACAATTTTATTATTAAAATGTGAAGGCTCACTCACCCCTCCCTAGTGGACTAACTTGAATATCCCAGTGATTTATGATACAAACAATTGTTAATTAGTGAATACTTAAAAATGCACTTATTTTGTACTTAAGATTTCTATCGTTAATTAATTATAGTTGTATCTTGTTATTACTATTTCTGAAGTGATTATTAATAATCATTGTTTGTATTATATACAGAAAACACAAACAACTGCTTATTTCATATGAATTTTGTTCAAAATAAGACATTTAATATCTTAAATTATAAAAACAAATAATTTTTAT